TCGATTCCTGTCAAGGGCACGTACCTCGGTTGCAGGTTCATCCCTGGCCCTGGTCAGGGCTCATGGAGGAGGCAGCCAATCAATGTGGTTCTCTCACATAAATGTTTCTCTCTGTCTTTCTCTCTCTTCCACTCTCTCTAAAAGATTAACAGAAACATATCCTCGGGTGAGGATTAACAACAACAACAAAAAGATACTGCCAATAAAATTTTAATTTATTAAAAGAAAAAAAAAGAAAGTTAATGTGGTAACAGGTTCTTTTGGGCTTCTTGGTGGGTTGGGAGATTGTAGAAAGGTAGAGAGAAGCAGCTCTTTACAAAACATGGAATACAGGAGGCATAGGGACTTTGGGGGCTGCTTAGAGGCAGGGGAGAGGATGGACTCTTGCTTGTACTGGACGTCTTGTGACATTAGCAGTGCAGGAATATAAATTCTTTCTAGAAATACATAGACCTGAAGATTCCTGGTGGAAATCTTCCACAGCAAAGCTGTCCTCCCTCTAACCCCAATCTCTTCTGTGTCTAAAGGCAGTCTTTTCAGATTTAGGAGGACCACAATAACTAGCAAGAAAGCAGGTGTACTTAAATATGATTTACAAGTGCCTTAAAATCTTGGAATACCATTATCAAGGTGTTTTCAAATGAAAAGTCTTATCATTTTTTATTTTCATTTTGCTCCATCCCCCGCCCATCATACCAGCCTCACAATCTCCTACTAACAGGAGATCTGTGCCTTTAGAATACCAATATAGCAAGCTGGGAGCCAGTGCCCCTAGAAGAAAAGCAAAGGGCCTCCTGGATTCTTTGCCAAGTTGCTATTTAGCTTTAAAAAATAGTGGAACTTTGCTTCAGCCCTGGGTAAGAACAAAATCTCAGTGGCCTACTGAACTCTGTGCTATTGCTTTTGTTAAAGAGCAAAGGTAAGATTATCGACACTATCACTGCCTGTTATCTATGGATAAATGAAGTACATCTCCCTGAGGATTCCATTTCAGTCTGTTTCATCAGCAGTGATTTATCTTTGTTTTTATATCAAAACAAGAGGCCCAGTACATGAATTTGTGTTACAGTGGTGGTGGGGAGGAGGGACTATGGGAGGTTGGCCAGCCGGGGAAGGGACCGCAGGAGGTTGGCCGCCAACCCTGAGGAGGGAGCTGGCCCTCGGCCCCCCTGAGAAAGGGGCCGCATCTGCCGCCACCCACCCCTGGTTCCCCGTCCCAGCCTGGGCCTGAAGGCCCTGGCAGGATTGGGAGAGGAGACGATGCCGGGTGGCATGGAAGGAACGGATGCTGCATGTCCTGCCACTGTATGTTTCTCCACCAACCCCACTCGCCGCCCCATCCCGGGGAAGGGAGAGGATAGGAGCGATACAAACCCTTGTGTTTAGGGCTGACCCAAAAACAGGTAGCCTATGAATGGTTTAGCACCAGGGGCCGATGGGGGCCAGCCACCCCGGGAGAGGGGCCACGGGAGGTTGACTGTGAGAGCGCACTGACCATCAGGGGGAAGGTCCTGTGTTGTGCGTCTGCCCTCTGGTGGTCAGTGCGTGTCACAGCGACTGGTTGACCGGTTGTTCTGTTGAGTCATAACAGTCACTTAGGCTTTTATATATATAGATTTATTTGCCATAAGAACTGGCACAAGGACCTATTGTGTTTAATCTCTCTTTATGTTTCTCTTTAAACAATAAACTTTCCTATGGCCATGGGAATTTGGAGTAAGCAAATGCAAAAATTATTTTACATGTTAAACTTGCCATTTCTCTTGTAGGGACCACTAGGCAGCGTTTTCCATGGAACCCAAACCAAGAGGCCAGTTTAGGAATGATTCCTTTTAACATAATCCTATCCTGAGGGAGGGGAGTATAGGGGAAAGGGTTTTCATAAATTCAGTTCTGCTAGTAATTCCAGTAATAAATCACTTAGTTTGAATTTGCCTTATACTGCTTTATTGTTCTATAGGGAAGGTGTCATGTTGGAACTTTATTGTTCAGCTGACCAAATAAGATTTAGTTATCACTCAAGAGGTATCTCCAGATACCAGGCTTCCTGAACTCAGAGCTGTAGCTTTTATAGTCACCTTTAAATTTAGCCTCTTCCTAATAATAATATTTATTGCTAGAGATTTTGTACAGAGAATATTTTTTAAATTTCAAACATGTCATCTAAATCTTAATCACTGAGAACTATAAGCATTAAGTATAACCTGCCAACAAAGGCAGAATGACTTAGTATTGCTTTTCATATATATATACACACACACACATACATACACACACATACACACACACATACACACATATACATACATACACACGCACACACATATACACACACTTCAACAGGTTACTTTCATTTATTTATTTATTTTTAATTTTTTATTGTTTAAAGTATTACATATGTCTCCTTCCCACCCACCCATTGACCTCTTCCCAGCCACTGCCACCCCCAAGCACATGCCCTTACCCCCCTAGTGTCTGTGTCCATTGGTTATGCTTATATGCATGCATAAAGTCCTTTGGTTGACCTCTTACCCTCCCTCTCTCTCCCCTGCCTCCCCTCTGAGATTTGATAGTCTGTTCAATGCATCTATGTTTCCAGATCTATTTTTGTTCATCAGTTTATATTGTTCAGTATATTCCACATATGAGTAAGATCATGTGGTATTTATATTTCTCTGACTGGCTTATTTTGCTTAGCATAATGCTCTCCATGTCCATCTATGCTGTTGCGAATGGTAAGAGTTCTTTCTTTTTTACAGCAGCATAGTATTCTATTGTGTAGATGTACTACAGTTTTTTAATCCACTCATCTGCTGATGTGCACTTAGGCTGTTTCCAAATTTTAGTTATTGTAAATTGTGCTGCTATGAACATAGGGGTGCATGGTATTGTGTGTTTCCTTGCTTTTTTGTTTTTTATTCAGTTCTTTGGAAGATTCACATAATAGATTATTATTATTATCATTATCTGAGGACATGTTCATTGATTTTTAGAGCGAGAGGGAGAGGGGGAGAGAGAGAGAAAGAGCGAGAGTCAGACAGACATGGAGAGTGAGAGAAACATCAACCAGCCACCTCCCTTATGCATCCTGACTGGGGATTAAAGCTGCAACCTGGGTATGTGCCCTGACTGGAAATCAAACCTGCAGCCTTCTGGTGTACAGGACAACACTCCAACAAACTGAGTTACCTGGCCAGGACTAGATCACTATGTTTTAAATCACTTTAAAGTTTTCAATATGTGTGAATCCCAAATTGTAAAGGACTTCTCTCCTGCAATACTCCTCCCCTCAGTAGTAGGACAAATAAGCCGATATGGTGGTCACTTCCACTTTCTCAGTAACCTGAGGAATGAGGTATTTGTTTAGAAGCACTCAAAATAGTGCCAACGGTTTGCATATTTTGGCAGGTTAAGCAGAGGAAACATCAAAATGTAATCTGCTTGAAGTGTGTTAGGAAAAAATTCATCTCAGTTAATTTGAAGATTATCCTATCATAGATGTCACTACTATTTTGCAATCCCTGTGACTAAAGCAATTGTGCTGTCAGAACCTTACTTACGTAGACAGAACATCAAGTCTGTGGTCACTGGTGTTCTGGATCTTTCTGCAGGAGTGCTAGAAGGCTACCAAATGTAAAAGTGGAAACTTCTTTGTGTTCTTTATTATATACAAGTTATTTCAACACATTCAGAGTCATGGACTTTGGAGAAGTTGATGGTCTTAGAGACTTACCTCTTGCAAATCCTGGCTTCTCCAATTTTGTGGATAAAATGCTGTCTCTGAGGTTGTTTTAGAACTTGAGGCCTCTTACCCCTCTTTGGCAGGCCTTTCATTTCTGGTTCTTCCACCAAGTATTCCACCATGTGAACGGGAGCATTTTTATTTAATTTCAGTAAAGTCATCGAACAGAGTAGCTTATAACTGGAGGGGGGCTGGCAGGGGAGGGAGGGAGGGAAGGAAGGAAGGAAGGAAGGAAGGAAGGAAGGAAGGAAGGAAGGAAGGAAGGAATCTGCTTCTATTTTCTGTGTGTGCATCACCTGAAATTCTGTTGCCACCCTATAAGAAAAAGGGCAATATCTCCATCTTCATGATGGGATGAACTCCTTTGGACCAGCTTCTTTCACTTAACATTATGCTTGTGGGATTTATTTCTGATATGGCCTGTATTTGTCGCTCATTCATTTTTAGGGACAGTGTAATATTTCACTGTGTGCTTATTTCCCCCGCCCCTTTCTTTTTTACTAAAAACTTCTATTGATGGATATGCACTTTGGTCCCAGATTGAAACTATTATAAAAAGTGTTATTATCAACACCTGTATATTCATGCTTAAGTTCTGCTGAAGATATTCAAGCAGATTTTGAAAGTGGCTGTACCAATATGTACTTCTTTCAACAGGGTATGCGAAATCTAGTTTGCCCATAGTCTTGCCTGTACTTGATGCTCTTAGTCTTTTTCATTTAGGTCATTCTGATGAATTAAAGAATTTCCTTTTTTTTTTTGGCTCACATTTTTTTCATCTCATTCTACTAGTATATAAATGCTTTGCTGTACTTGATTTAGAATAACTTATTTGCAGCCAAATATACACATTTTCAAATAGGTATTAAATGATTCTTTTTGTGAGCTTATAAATAATGAGTTTCAGAAGGTGGCCAAGATCTATGTACTAACCCAGCCTGAATTAATGACCCCATGTGAAGGGCCTGGTTTTTAGGCCTCTGTGTCAGACCTCCTTGTTTATCCCATTTTACAGATGAAGTGACTGAGCCACTTCAGGGACTAGGGACCATCCCAGGTGCTATGGCCAGGCCTCCTAGAAGAGCCAAGATTATAATGTTCACTCCTTTCTCTCAAGTGAGGTTCTTTGTTGATTCTTGTACTCTTTCATTTGCTAAATAATTTTTGAATACATACTGGATAGCAGTCACTGGACTTGGCCCAGGAGACTCAGTGCAAACAAGCTTCTAACCTAATGATGTCCTCTTTCACTTTACAGGTTATGGCTTTCAAATCACAGCCTATTTCCTCAAGAGAGGGATACGCCTTCGCTGCTTTGGGGGCTCACAGAGGCCTGGTAAGAAACTGATTTCTTGGGTTGTCAGACATTTTGCACAATTAGCTTGCCTTTGAGAAGGGAGAAAATTAAGGAATGAGGATCCCTACCTACTTTGTTGTCTTTATGAAATTGAAGTACTAAGTAAGAGTATTTCCAAACTTTGTGATTATTTCTTTTTCCATTTTCACTGTTTATTGCCTGCCTGAGAACAGTGAGCCAGGCCACACTACACTGTGCTTTCCTGCTGCATCTCAGCACTTTCATTGAGCTTCCAGAATGACTCACAGACCGTCAAACTATGAATCACTTCATCATTGTCTGTGCACACCAAGGCCCTGGGATATGGAGCAAGTGTGTGCACGAGAAAATGCTTTCCCAGCCTTTTCTAGGTGTGTGACCAGGCCAGCTTCCCCCTCATTTTCCCCAAGTCAAGATGTCCACTGAGGAAATGATGTCAAACTCATCCAGCCAACAACAATAAAGTCAGATGCTAACGACCGTTCTCCAAGTTCATCTGAGCATCGGAAAGAAAATCTAGTTCAACTTCCATGCATGATTTTAGTATATAAGCTGTGAAACAGGGACTTTAAAAATTAACTGTATGGAGGTTTGCTCTTGGAATCTTCACAATTATCTGTAATTTCTCAACTTTAAGTGTCACTTGACTATATTACTCTCTTACTCAATTCTCTTAGTAAAATATGCCAGTTAACCTGTATCTGTTAAATGCAGCCTAGCTCCCCTTCATGGTGGGGATGGCTGTTGCCTAAATCTTTATTTAAATATTAAAGTAATGAAAATCTCAAATATGACAATTAGAGTAAAGGGATATAGAAATTGCTTTCTGTTTGCACAACACCCGGCACCAAAATGTTCGAATCTGTATTCTATCCTTCTTATTTTTCAGAAGAAGAAAGGGAAGAACAGAATAGAGGAATTATTTGATAGAATGATTAACTTTGAATTCTGGTTGGGATCCACTAATAATTGATATAACTAATCATTTTGAATTTTAATTCTGATTCTCCAACAAGTTGTATTTCAGTGTTATGATATTGGGGAGAGGGAGAGTGCCAAATAATGCATTTTATGACTCAGCTTCCCTTTCCATAAAGTGGGGAACCAGACATTTACCGCTTATCTCAATAGGATATTTTAAGAATTAATGAATAAATACTGCTTTCATAATTTTGGTTTTCTGGCTTTTCAAAGCCCATTCCTGGTCACCTGACCACATATGATATCCATGAGGGGTCAAAGTATGCCCAGAAATGGAGGTTTCTATATGAGCAAGACTAATGGGAGTAAGAACAGAACTACAGGTTAGGTCCCATCATGGAGGGTTTTGGATATTTTCCTAGTATGTGGTGGCACTAAGGAACCATAATAAGGGTTTGAGCATAGTAAGTGGAGCTGCTTTTTAAAACTGTCCATCTGCTTGCACTTAGTAGAATAAACTGGAATAGGGAAGAGTAGCCACCAAGGAGACAGCAGTGGTCCAGGTGAGAGGTAAAGAGAGAGCTGTTACTAGAACAGTGGTTCTCAACCTTGGCTGCACATTAGAATCACCTGGGAATCTTTTTAAAATCCTGATTTCTGGGCCTCATCCTCCGGAAATTCTGTTTCTTTTGTTATGGGGGGGTGGGGAGGCACAACATTAGTAACAAAGAAACAGAATTTCTGGAGGATGAGGCCCAGAAATCAGGATTTTAAAAAGATTCCCACGTGATTCTAATGTGCAGCCAAGGTTGAGAACCACTGCCCTAGAGCTTTGTGCTTGCCCCATCCTACTGATGGCAAACATAGAAGGGTGGGGAGGGGACACGTGTGACTCATACATATATGCTTATTGCTGTAACTTACAAATCTGGGATCACCTATTTCTGTGTTTATAGGTTTTTGATGCCTTTAGTAATTTGGTTTTCTTCATTTTATACAGAACTTCGTGTATTTCCTGACAGATTTGTGGTCTGTGTAAGTCAGCTTGCATTCAGTTGTGATCTTTCAAGGCAGAATGAGGAACTGGTATGTATGAAAAAATTCTATAAGCAAATCTGCTTAAATATTGAATTAAAGAATTTTTTCTTGTTGTCATTTGGCTATTGATCACTTAATGTATGTTTTAAGGGGCATACATTAAGTGCTCAATATGTCCTACCTGTTGTGCATGATATTATTAAGACCCCTTGAAAATTTAATTTGATCAGCAGTATTTTTTCCATATCAATTTTAAATGAGAAAGAAACATTTTATAAAAACTGTGATGGTGCTTAGGATAGTAGTTAAATGAAATAAAACAAAGTCTTTAAATGAAATGAAGCAAAATCCACATGTTTCCACTGGAAGCTTTCATTGGGGTCAGTGGCTTTTGAATTTTATTCCATGGTGAATCACTGACATTTTCATGAGAACCAGTACTTTTCCCCAGTGTGTTATTTCTTAGCTGATAGGGTTCATTTTCTTTCTCTTTTCTCATGCTAAGTCTTAAGCTCCATCACATCCTGTTACTCTTTCATTGGAGCTCTCTATTCAGACAAGTAGATTCAGAAAACGCTGGTAATATTGCACTGGAGAGCGACTCCTTGTGTGTGTACATCCAGTCTATCTGAACTTACTTCTTTACAAATTTTTTCATATTTTTGGACATACTAGTATGCCATAAAACTATAACAAAGAGATGAAAAAAAGTCTAGCAGACATTAAGCCTGGGTATGAACTTAAGGCAGTGGTTCTCAACCTTGGCTGCGCATGACATGATTATGCTTCTAAAATAATTTATAGGAATATTAATTTACCTGTTATGTTTATTTCTAATCCATTTGAAATTTGGCCCATATGGTCTAAAAACAACCTCTTTTCTCATCTTAAATAAATACTTAGGGAGAGTGTTTTAGAGGCAATAAGGGTAAATGGAAATCCAGAAAAAGTAAAGGGCAGAGAACTCATATTTAAATGTAGGTGCCTTCATTTGGAGCAAATATGCCCATCAGAAAAGCCAACATGATCCCAATTTCTTCATATATCAATAAAACTCTAAGTATACATATTAAATTAAATAAAGCAAATGTGGTGAAAAGTATTAAAATTTTATTCTTTGAAATATTTTTAGAATTTTAATTTCTTAGTAAATTAATAAATGCTAAAATAGTAATGCTATTGGCAAACAAGTATATTATAATATAACTTAACTAACTCCAAGCAATGAAGAAATTGACCTGTGGTTTAAGAAAGCAATTAATTGTACTAGAAAGTACCATTGCTTTCAGATAGGATACAGAATAAATGAGATCTTGTATGATATGTGATTTTGATACTTAAATTATAAAGGTTGAATTAAAACATCTCAGTACAACTGAAATACTATCTTCCTTAGGAGCACTGATATTTATACAGATGTAAGTTTTCTACAGCTGCTGTCATTTAAGTCCTGTAAACTTAAGGCAGTGGTTCTCAACCTTGGCTGCACATTAAAATCACCTGGGAATCTTTTTAAAATCCTGATTTCTGGGCCTCATCCTCTGGAAATTGTTTCTTTGTGGCCCCACCACATAAAGAAACAGAATTTCCGGAGGATGAGGCCCAGAAATCAGGATTTTAAAAAGATTCCCAGGTGATTCTAATGTGCAGCCAAGGTTGAGAACCACTGTCTTGAGGACTTCTTAAATGTTAAGAATTTTCATTCTTACCCGTTGACTAGTCTGAGTCTTTTACCTGAGCCAGTACAGTTCTTATTTATCTTCAGAATGTTTTGACATCTAGTGACAATACTATCAGAGTCCACCAAGTTAGCTTATAAGAAATGTGCCATTGACATCATGAGGATCTTTCACATCTTCCACTGTTTTGAGTAATTCTCTTAGATGTGGTCAGGCACTGTCTCTTTAGCTGCCCTTTCTTCCCACCTCTGACCATGCCCTCACACACTTTCCCCTCCACACCCACACAAGTCAACTAAGCCCAATGCAGCTCCATCCCTGGACACAGGCCCTGTGCACCTGTGCTTGGCCTGCTCGCCTGTACGTTCTCCCTCCTCACAGACCTCCAGTCTACCACCTTTCAAGCTCGTCCCTACAAACAATAAAATGTCCAGGTCGAGTGGAGGGCCTCTCTCCCACAGATGGCCCATCAAACTAACCACAAAGCAGTCCTTCCACCACACTTGTCCTGGAGCTCTGTCTTCATTGATATTTGACCTCTGAGAGCCCTCCTGTCCCAGCTATTTAAGGGTCAATAAATAGCCCTTTCCTCCCAGAATTGCCTTCTGAGCAGAGGTGGCATGCTTACTCCCTTATATTGTTCAGATGCCCAAAGCTGGTGATGCCCTGCTCTCTCTCTCCTGCGAGTATTCTCTCAACTTCCGTTTTCTATAGAGCTTTGAAATCTTTTATCAGTTTACATTGCTGTTTGCCACAGGGCAAGATCCACCTCATTTTCTCTTGGTAGTTATTCTCAAGAAACATCTGACTGGGCGAGGTCTGGGGGATTGGCTTCCTAAAGAGCCTAATTGGAGTTCCTTCTTTGGCAATAAGCTTCAGTTACTTTCCTGTAACTGCTTACTGAACTCTCTCTTCCCAGTCACAGAAGTCGTGAGCCAGTACCGAGCAGCAGCCTGCGCGCCTTACTCATGCCGTAGCCTTGAGTCGCAGATTCCCTTTCCTTCGTCTTTTCTTCTATCCTTTTTGGTCCTCGGTGTCTAAGTGACAGTTGGTGAGGAAATCTGGGGGAGCCTATTCAGAACTGCTGTGCGCAAGGAAGCCAGCTGCACATAGCTCCTCATTCTTAAAAAGGCGGCTGCACAAAAGAACCGCTGTTGCAGACGAAGCAGTACAAAGGGAGCGATCCCCCTCTTTGGAGGGACGGGTGCAGAATGAGCACAGCCATGTTGCCCCCTGACCCCCGCAGCTCCAGGGAGGTCTGTTCCCCGCTGTCCACTGAGGGACGTTGGTGCAGGGAGCTACCTCGTGTTGCAATAGCTCCGCACCGCGTACTCTTGTGCCAGGGATGTGGGAATTGTGATGTGTACTTTGGGAAGAAAGGGCGTTATTATGAGATGAGTCATTGTATTTTTCTTACTACAGTTTCTCATAAGAAATCTTGAAGCTCTTGTAGGTTCAATTTTTGACCTATCGCTAGAAATGGAGTTGGGGAGTCATTTTGGGAGTTTGTACCTTAGTTTTTTTTTCCCCCTCGCCTTCTTTCCCTTAGAAATATGAAGAGCATGAAATAGAATTTTGTATTGCACTTCACTTTATTTCATTCCAACAGTATTCTCTTTCATATTGACAAACCCAAGTCCCTGTGTAGAAACTTCTTTCTCAGATGTAAAGCCCAGGAGCCTTTGGGAAATTCAAAATTATTTATTATTTTCATTACTTTTCTATTAAAGTAAATAACCAATAATAACCAAAGCAATAACTTTATAAAGTAATAAATCTATTGTCAAATAACCACAAGTTATTTCTATATGTATATATCTGGAACATTTCAGGTTCAGCATAAAGCTACTGTCTCACAGAGCATTGCTTACAGCCACTCCTAATCTGAGACCCTTCCCATCTGCTCTTACCATCACCTTTTATATAATTTGCTGAAAACTGGCTCTACACTAGGAGCTCTGGTGGGCCCTACGGCAACTAAGAAAAATAAGAAAGTGCTCTTACCCTCAAGGAGCTTACAGTTTGGCAGATCAAGGGCACTGAAGGTTATCCTCGTGACCTAAAAATGCAATTCAAACAGAGCCTCAGGATCTAACTGCACCAGAAAGGATATCCATTCTGAACCTTCCTGGTTCAGTTGGATCCTGTCTGCCTTTTGGAAGCAAAGTCCAAAATTCTAAGTTACTTTCTTACTTTTAAACCTAAGCTGTAAGAGTCTGATTCTTCTGGAAATTTAAAAAGTGACATTTAGTACTAGTGCTATCTAAAAGTGAGTCTGTACATAAGATATTTAGGTTCCTGTGTGTTGTGCCCAATCTGTGAGAATAACGGTCAAGATTGTGCAGACGTACTGCAGCCACACAGCCCTGTGTCCTCGCTATAGCATCATGTCAGTGAGATTACCGGCACGTCCTGACAGGCACTAAATTGAACACTTCTCCTAAGTCACACTACTTTTTAACACTAAAGAACTCTCCTTCTAGTTTATGAGTATATAATTGAAATGAAAATGAGACTAAAGCAGCAATAAACTACCCTGGCCTGGGTTATTTTTAGCTTGGCTTTCGTGTTTCTCAGCTGTGCGTAATTGAGCCTCTGTGGGCCTTAGCCCTCCTCTCAGTCAAGGGAGGATGTCAGATTACCTCAAAAATCCTTTCTCACACTGAATTTCTATCAGAGGAAGCAATGAACATGTTGCTAAATAAAACCCATAAAATTATTTTGCACAAAAGAGAACGTTCCTTGTAGATTAAAAAACCATGATGAAAAGAAAATCGGAGTAGGGTTATATTTTATCTTAGGAAAGATAAATAGAAATTATAAATAAGTAGAAAGTTTAGTCTTTAAGTTTTTAGAATACAAGAAATAAAATACTTACCAATTTGACTATGCACTAACTTATGCACCCCAATGAGAGAATTACTTAACTTTCATACGACAAATTTTGATAAGTATAAATCAGATCATTCAAGAAAAGAACTTTTTTGTATTAAAAAATTAAATAAGTAGTGTATTTTTTCCAGGTGTTTTTTTTTTAACATATATAGTCTTTGTAAGGTTCCATTCTTCTTATCTTATTGTATTTCCTAAACAATGTTGGTGGTAAATTACATGGGAGCCATAAACAGGAGCTGCCTGTAGCACTGAGAAATGTTCCTTGAGGGGGAAGAGGCAGTTTCCATATTTCACATTCCCCACAATGGAACTTAGTTTTGAACTTAGTTTTTTACTTAATAACTGCTTACCAAAATTGTACATGTTAATTGTGCAAAAGTGTTTAGAGTCCCAATATATACAAAGACAGTAAAAATTGTCCACAACTCCCAATCCAAAGATAGCCTCTGTCAATGATCAGTTCTGTACCCCTCC